TACATGTAATTAATTAACTTAGAGCGAAAATTAGGCATCGGTGGAAAAATTAATCATCTAAAACAGACTTGTACTATAACACAAGTTTTTAGTCCATTAATGAGTTGTCTTAACGTTTTTTTATTATTGTACTTGATATATATCCTTTTGATGAACTCAGTTATTAGGAAATTTCGAGAAGAATTAAAGCAGACTATGCAGTGAATATCGGATTTGTCTCAACGATTTTTTAAATTTGGTGAGCCAGACAGGTGCAGTAGTAGCTTAATTTAATTTGGAACATTGTATATACGACGTTTCGCATAATATAACAATCGAACTACTTCAACCTTTTCTGAGTCGAGCTAGGCTTTTTGGTGAATTCGGTACTTGTGGTCATTTAATTTGCAACAGAAGCCAAGAAATGCTGCAATCTGGTATTGTGTCATCGGAGTCTTGCACATTTTGGCTAAAAAAAGACGCCGTGAAGTACCGGTAACGTTTACAGCATTCGATTTAACTGACCGAGACGGCTACAACATATTTTGTCCTCAGATCTATGATAATTTACCCTTAAAATTTACCATTAGGCACGCAATAAGTTCGATGTGGTTGATAGCACTTCACAAGGCTCTGAGTACAATGTGTGGCCATACACACGGCATAAAACGTTTTAGATCAATTCAAATTGATAGTGTGTTCTGCAATTGGTCTTTTATTTGGACTACAGGTTGAAAATTTCGATTAGGCTCTGCAAATGTTTGTTTTAAAGTTGACAATAACAGGAAAGACTTTGCATTCGTTTTATTTGAATCAGCTTTTTGCGTGTTTGCGAGGCTCTTAGCTTGCCGAAGTACTGTCAAACACTGTAAAATATTTATTGCTGAATAATCAGTTCGGTTTTTTCTTTTATGATAACAGAAATGGTCAGATTCGTATCTATTCAATTTCCACCTCTTTCTCCTCGAATCTAGGAAAATTCTCTCCTCGTAAACGATTTTAATAGCTAATTTAAAGCCAGTGACAACAAGCTTTGATTGAAAAGCGACAAAAAATTGTTACAGAATCATGCTGACTTATTTTTCCCTCTTTCGCGGTAGCCATTTGCAAATCTGGTTCTGTTTTTCTTAAGATTGGCTGCCGAGACAAAAAATCTATCCTTTCCCACTTATAAAGATTTATTACTGATATTATCTGTCACTTTTATCGGTTGGAGCGCAATTTGTCTGCGTCCAGGTCATTTCAAAACTTTTCTTGTTTTTATTGCACAATCCTTTTAATTGAAGGGAACGTCAGATCACTAAATTTTGCTGCAAGTAAATCACTTTACTTCTGACGTTTGTGAAGATGAAGAAAAGACAAACGAGGCTGATATAAACATATGTCGCTTTGATGTATTTTGACCAAGCTGTATTAAAAAAAAGCTGTTTTTTCCCACAATTGTGTGATTCAGACCTTCGGCAGCCGCATATGATTTGATGTAATTGAAAGATGTCCGCAATTCAACAATCCTTGTAGAATATAACGCAATTAATAACGTCAGTTTCTCAAACATGCCCGGCAGGAGACGCGAGGGCGACAGATCTAATAGCGTAAATACATATAAAACTCGAGAATTTCTGCATCATTTCGAATCAGCTGTTGCTTGTCTTTTTCAATTAACTCTCACACTTTGTTGAAAATTAAAAGTGTGTCGTCAGTTACAAAGGTGTAAATGGAACTCATGTTAGCCCTGTCAAACAATTACAAAGATTTGCATAAAGATGTATTCAGGCTAAGTGCTGGTTCAATTGGAAGAAAGACCCATTAGGACCGAGACAGAAGAAGCAAAGGTTCATTCAATCGTAGGGCGGTAAGTTTGTCTTTTATGATCAAAACTTCTCCGTTCTCAAGTTGACCGAAAGCAAATCATTAACTCATTTCAGTCTTCTGTTCCAATCGAACGAAATGCAATTTTCATGGAGTCAGGATTGTATTTTAGGTAGAAGATCTTCGTATTGTATGAAATCTGTACCTGACGTTCACGAAATTGGTTTCATGCACAATTTACTGCGGCTATCGTGGAGATATCACGTCAGTGGGGGATATCTTTTTGTTTTAAGAATTGAGGTTGGATAATTTGTAGTATAGATTTCCCCGCCGGTTGTACGTGTCACATCTCGCCCTCGCCTTGCCGCAGCTGTATTTATAGCACGTGATCCGTTGCTATGGTGACATAGACTTTAGCATAAGGGTTCTCAACCACTTCCTATATAGAAGTGACTGGTTCAAGCCGCATTTACAGTAGAAAAACGTCCCTGACAAGCCTTTTTCTGCGGTGTAGATGGAAAAATATGATAAGCTTTCTCTCTACAATTTTCCCTCTCCAAATGAAGAGTTAATTTATCTGTTTTTAGTGGGAGACTTCGTTGACATAGAAGTATTGTTAATTACAAAGTTTTTGACATATAGAGTTGGTGTAAATGGCTTGTGATGGACACTTCTCAAGAAAAATTTAAACAGCCTGTGAGGGACTCTCTTCTTTAACAATTACTTCCTGTCAAGTATCATCGATAAGTTCTTATTTGCTAAAAGTTGACGCGTGCAGTAGTCAAGGAAAAGTTGCAAATATAAATGAGGCTTTTGATGAAGATTCCCTTGACCTATTTTCAAATGCAAACAATAACCATAATTAAAAAAGGTAACTAGAGGTATGCATGTCGCAGAAAGTGTTTATAAATCAAACTACCACAACTCTAAACCAAATATACGCATGTTTGAAACATACCTGAGTGATGAGCATGCAACTTAGTGTACAATTTTAAAACCAGTAGCATGGGGAAAGTCAAGCCGGTGACACAATATGAAATCATCAAAAAGTACCCAATAGGTGTGATATAAATCCCAAGCAGGATTATAGTTTGAATACGAAGCTCTGCTACAATTGTATTTTTCAATGTGGAAAATTTAGCCTGAAGTTTAAAAAAAAAAAAATTAAAATTCACCATCTCATCACTGGTTCTATTTTTTAAGACAATGCATTACGGTCTTCACACACCTCAGACGATGACACCAATTGTCTTCACTAACTTACTATAAAATATCATTATATAGCAGTGTATATACAGGATTTTTAAGCAGACGTTGAAAGATGAACTGAACTAAGAGAGATTTAAGAGGTTGTTTGGTGTCCATTTCAAAATTTGTTTACATCTAAAACGGATGAACATGCTACGATCGTGTTCGGTTATTTTAGCTAAAGAGGACTTATAGAAAATTAATTTTAATATGGAGATTTTTGGTTTCAGACGAAATTTAAAGAGCGAGGTAATCGCTTTGTTTACATGACTGATTATTGGTATCTGTTTTAATATGCAGGAATATAGATTCTTACCAGAAAATAGATGATTCACGAAAACAGCAACAAAGAAAGATATTTTAGCATTGGAAGGCCTAACTGGCTGAAGAGAGAACTTTTTTATTGTCTAAAACTTTCGCGGACGCAAAAGATCGCTCTTGTGAATATAAATACTTGTGGGTAGAGATTATCTACAGTAAAGCATTCGAAAAAATTAATCAGACGTATTGAGGCTTTCAGTCTTCATTATTTGGCATGCCTGCACATGAGAAAGCATCATTAGAGAGTAGTTTGCCTCAATGAAATTCTGTTTTTTGAAGAACCAAAATTGCTTTTTCATAAGGTGAAAAACAATGCTATTAGAAATAGAGGTCTTGCATAAACGGGTTTTGATAGGCAACCTTGAGGAAAAAAAAAGAAATATAAAAACACAACATAGGTTTGATTAGAGGGAAAAAGGTGGCAATTAAAATGTTTCCTCTGATCTTGAAGTTAATATTTTGGCAAAATCGAGAAACGTGTCTATGCCATCGAAGGGTGATTGGAATTTGCATATCATGAAACCACTCTCTGCAGGATGTTGGATCTGTTTAGAGAAAAGCGAGACAAAACAACTAACCACATGAAATTTGAATCCCAAAGCAATCCTACCATTTGGTAACTTACGGCTGATGTTTTTCAAATGTACTTGACGCAATTGCGATTTCGTTGGACACAAATTTTGATGGAGTTGAAAGCAATTGATAGCAAAGCTTTGAAATCATCAAGAACCGAAAGTTCTTAATTCCTCTTGTGGTAAGATATCATAACGATAAAATGTTTGACAGCAGATAACCTACTACCTTTTGTTTTGTGACTTCATAACTGCCAGTAGAAGTGGTAAACACATCTAATATTTGTCGGTAATCTTGAAAGACTGAATTTCCAGAAGTCAGAAAACAATGAATGTAAACGAGATTCGGGTAAAGTGGAGTTGATTGTCAAGTTGAATTAAAGACGGAAAATGAATCTGAACAAAAACAAAACATATTCAGCTTACACAGCTGGTTCTTCATCTCACGAAAGTTTATTTGCACACGGAATGAATTAAATGCCCGATACACCTTTTATAAAGAATTGAGATAGGTTTCAAATTTGATAGCATAAAAACCAGCAGAATCATTTTCAGCTCAAGAGTCTGCCATTGAATTAAACAAAGAGTGAATCCAATATTGAGCGGCCACCGCAAACGACCTTATTTATATGGATATGAAGCCATAATGACTGGTTTGAAAGGCTGGAGTGGGCTAGCTTTATATTTAAAAGGTTTTTTTTGAGCGGCATTAGTCTGATCTCCCATCTTCTCTACACTCTCTTAATTCTCATTTGAAAGAGTTAATACTATTGGATAGGAACTCGTTCAGTTTCCATATTTGGCCTTGAAAAGGACACCGATAGTTAATAAAAGGTAGATTTAAGCTGCAGTAGAAATTAGCCCCTTAGCTTAAATGCAGAATCTTATTTCTTTCCAACTCTTTTTCTAGCAATTCTATTGTTATCAGTTCTAAGCGAATGGCTGAGGATTTGCTGTATTGCCTCAGGAGCAATGGTTTGTGGCAAATTCAGAACAATTCAATCAATATGCAAATGAAGAATCGTGTTTTCGTGTTTGTCATTAAATTACGAGCTAGCTTTTAGCTTTTAAGTTCAACACTGTCACAGTTTACTTACAGAGAAACATTTCGCTCCTCGTTAAAAAGCGTAAAACGGAAAAAAGCGAAGCGTCAAGCACATCAGACGACTCTTTGTAACCAGATTCTGGACAACAGTTTACTTAACTGTACTACCGTTCAGTGCCTAACACAGAAATTTAAATTCTCATCTCTAATTTCTTGAATTTCTATCGGTGATCGTCTTGGTAAGTTGAAAAGTGTTTCTTTAACCTTTAGAAAATTTATGCAAATGAAAGAGAAGATGGACTGGTGCTTCGGCTTTCCATTTCATACATTTTTCAACACTGCAATATTTTATGATAATGATATTTAAATCGTAGGCCTTGCTCTTTTTGTAATGTGACAATTTTTAAGACTTTCGACTTTCATGTTGAAGGGAGAAAGCAAAAGCAGTATATTTTTCTTTCTATCTGTTTACTTAAACTGCTTATACCTTATCAATGAATTTCTGCTTTTCCTTTTTATGATCTTCTCAACAGTCAGTTCATATAATCGAAGTTACACAAATGTTTGTCATTTCTTATTTAGCTATTTATTTGCCTTATTTTCAATGCTCTTGTAACTTTTCCTGAACAACGTGGCACTGTTAAGGAGAAGAGCGGAACTGTTTCCTTTACGGATGCTCTTCATCAAAGGGTGACATTCTAGATTTTGATTTTTTTTAACATGGAGACAAATTACAATTTTTGGTAGACTTGATAAGGAAAGATTGCAAGAAAAATTTAGAAGGCCATGTAACAGAAATTTTAATAAAGCAAATTGCCCTCGAAAGGAGCAAACATTTAATCGCGTGGTCTAATCGTCTGGCAGTCCTGAGATGGACTCTTTGGGGTGTAACGACTGACGTTTCGACAACCTTTGCGGAAGTAATCATCAGAGCTGAGGATCAGAACGAATTTCAATTTGATCTTCAGTGTCTGCTCGTCCAGGTGAAAGTAAAATACCGAGGAGGACTATTGTCGATAGTAACGATCGACATCTTGACAACCTTGGCGAAAGTCACTCACAATCAAATGATCATAAGTTTCTTTTTTACAGCAACTACATAAGAAGTTTTCTTCTCCAAAAAGTGTATTATGTCATTTAAAAAAGGTTGATGACGCAAATCTAACTTAATAAACATTAGTGGGTTAGTTCGTGATCCAAAACAATGTCAAAATAAAGGTTTCTATAATTTACTGAGTTATATATAACTTCTAATTAGTTCTTACTTATGAACTATTGGAGGACAGACGCATAGATGGCGTCACAATTAAGACCATTGTGCTTTTTCATCGCATGAAACAAACTGTTTTCGTAGTTCTGTACAGTAATAAATCACATAATACGTTAAAAATGTGGTAGAATGTCAGTACCATTTTTTTTTTGTTTTTACGCACAGTACATTTTGTGATCTATTAATGAAATGACGCGGGGCAATATTGAATCTATTTGTTTAATTGACAATATGAAGGATACAATTTGAGAAAACCTTAAAATAAGAAAAGTAGATGCTCGATCATTTGTTCGAAATTAGTCGTTTCATTTGGTATGAAGCTGTTGTAGAATGCGAGATCGTGAAACACTGCTAAGACAGATTTTGCTCTCGATGATTTTTGGTAAACTCAGATTGCACTCTGCTTAAGAGGCTTATATCTCGACGTTTTCGTTCATTTTCGAATATCTCACGCCTCTAGCAATGTCTGATACACACGTTTCACCAAACTGATGTGGCTTGCAAACGATGTGATAGACATGTTGACTGAATGCATGTTTTTTATGTGCATTTTTGTTCTGGCTCTATCAAGTTTTATATATTAGAAAGAATTTAGAAACAACTTGTGGTCTGCCAGCCTAAAAAATCGACGAAAAACCTTCAAAACCAAGCTAAATAGTGTCTATCACACATAACTACATTTATTTTCATACATTTCATTAAAATATTGTTTTTAATGAGAAAAAACGCATGAATTTCAAAGCCAACAACTTCCCGACAAACTGACCAATCAGTTTTCACGAGTCGGACATCGAACACCTGACGAACAAAAGCTCCCCACTAAACGCTGATGATGAACGCGCCTGGTTGAGGTATCATCATGCATCATGTTACTTTTTTCATAATAATTACATCAAAATAAATACATTTTAAAATACTCTTAAATTCCCAAACATTTATAAAGGCAAGTAAAAACTAGTTGAGCAATTTCCGCATGAAAAAAGACTGTTATCGTAAAGAGGGTAATTAAGTATTAGTACTGAGTCGATAACATAAATTGGCCACCGTAAAGAGTTTCAAAGCTGACATTTCGAGCATTGGCACTTCGTCAGAGCGAATGGTGGTATGGAATGGAATGGTGGTGTTTCGCTCTGACTAAGGGTAACGCTCGAAACGTCAGCTTTGAAACTCTTAACGGTGGCCAATTTGCGTTATCAACTCAGTTGATAATACTTAATAATCCTGTTATACTCTCCCACCGACGCAGCTTCATTCTGGTATCATAAAGAGCCTCGAAATCTTGAATCAAATGGCTGAGAAAGGAGAGGAATTGGAGGATTATTAGTTGATCCAATACCAAATTCACCGACATAACATTGTAAGAATTGTATGGCAGACAGTAAGGAGTATTACAAATGAGATCTTGGGAGTGAAATGTTTAACCCTTGAAAACGTCGTAGGCGTTGTGAATACCACTAATCATTAATTTTCAATTTCTGATTTAACAGATAAAACAAATTACAATGGCGAGACAAAATTTCTCTAATGAAACAGACGATGACTATGAAGAGGATTTTGCAGGAGTTTTTGATGCACGTTATCACATTCCTCCAATTGCTGTCGCCATTGTCATCATTGGATTAAATGGATTGGTTTTGTACCTGGTAAAGACACGACCCAACCTCCAATCAAGCATGAACTTTTTGCTATGTAGCCTGGCCCTGTCAGATCTATTGACAGGGTCACTGAGCATACCACTTCACGTTGGCTGTGATGTCACCTGGAAAACCAAGATTTGTGTGGCTTCGCAGCTGTTTATGAGATTTACATCAGTTTCCACGGTGATGCACCTTCTTGCCATTACAATGGACCGCTACCTAGGCATCAAACACGCACTTCGTTACAACGCTCTGGTCACAAAGTACAGAGTAATTGTAACTTCAGTCTTAATATGGAGTTCTTCAATATTTTCATCGCTGATACAGCTTGCTTGGATTAACTACGGACGCGATGACGTCGATGAAGAAGACGAAGACCTTACTAAGCATGAGATCCGTTACGACGTCACTAATCTTGTACTTTATGTTGCGATTCCATTCGTGGTCATGACCATCGTGTATATCAACATCTTTATTGAAATATTGCGTCAATACCGCAATATCAAACAATATAATTCTCCCGGATGGACTGAGACAAAGAAAAGGACTCACCACGAATGGAAGGCAGTAGCTATTTTCTCCATCATGCTGTTAGTCTTCATCATTTGTTGGCTGCCATTTTTTACCACTCGCTTGCAACACAACTTGGGAAAGAAGTTATTTGAACTTCCACTCTCGTCAGAGTACATTTTCGTATATCTGAGGTTTTTCACGTCTTTTTTCAATCCTTGTATGTATATCTTTGGTAAAAGAGACTTTCGCCAGGCTCTAAGTCTCTCAAGGAGGGGTTTGTTTACGCGGTTTCACTCCTCTTCGTATCATTCATCTCTGAAGACAACTATGGTGTAGATGGGCTCATAAAACATCCCGTACTGATATCATTGTGATGCGAAATCATTCTATTTCCGATGGTAAAAAGTTGCAAAAACTAAATACGGGAAAGACTGATTTGGAAAGCTTACTGTGTTCACTTTGAAACCTTGGCACAATTTCCCACATTTTTCAAGTTCCGTCCTCCTGAGAAATGGGTGAGCACAGGTTCATTTCCCGAACAGCAGCTGGTAATCGAGCCTATTTATGACCAAAAGCAATCAACCAGTTTCTAACATTCTCTGAATTTATTCCCTTTTTGTCAAATAGAAACGGCTCGTTGGACCAGAGATGGAATCATTGGAAAGTAAAGGAGATATAAATATCAGAAAATTGTGCATTCTATTGGTGGGTTTCCTCTTTCTAACAAACATTTTCGATAACCAACGTTACCGCTGACTGATTTACTTTTCACAGAAATGATTAAAAATTAATTTCTCTCACAATTCCAATGTATTAGCCAGTGAAAAAAAAATTAGCCAGTAGGTTAGGAAACCAGAGAGATGTTTTTTCGTCAGAGGTTTCGGAGCGATCACGCACAACGTTCAACGTTCAAATGGGAACCTCCCACCAACCTATCCATTCAGAATTAGTGATACAAACAAACAAACAAACAAACAGATAAAGTATAAGTGAGGCTAAGGAGTCTCCAACACACGTTATAGCATTGTTGTTGTTTACCTTGAGTTTTTGTTTCATTGTTTCCAAGTTCAGTATCTCCACTCCTCTATATAGAGAACATGTTTGCCCCCCATATGCACCATATCTGAGCTACGTAGTTATAACGTAACATAAGCCCAGTTAGCACTGTGCTGAGATAGTAATCAAGGTTGTGATAAATTATTTATGTATTTTTATTACCACCGTGTGATTCCAGTTGTTAAGTACTCTTATGGAGTAGTTCTTGGCTGGTACGATGTGTGCTTTGTCTGAAACGAGACTGAGAGTGTAGTGTTTAGAGTGCTTGCCAGAAAATTCTTAAAGGTAAGAAAAAAAAAACAAAAAAAAAAAAAACGCAAAACCCAAAACCGTCGCTTCGTATCAGCCACGAACTGATTTTCACAGCCATCATTCTTATTAATATTTTTATTATTATGTCAATAATGTGTGTTCTGTAGATATTGCATATTTGAAATTTAATAATACCTAGCTTCATACATCGTATATTATAAGAATGTTATATTTATAAGGGATAACCTGCAGTTATTAGCCTGATATGGGCGTTTTGATAACTCTTTTCAAGAAGGATTTCGTGTCAAAAGGGTACTCATTCATTGATATCACTAATAATATAGTCGATGACTGTGCATGTTGCATGCACTTTACAAAATATAATAACTCCCCCTTCCATCTTTAAGAGTTGGAAGCATGTCACTTTCTTCTTTCAGTGTCATTACCGCTCGTGACAATGAAGGAGACGATCATTAACAAAGGAAGTTCTTCATTTTTAAACAACTTTCCCTCAATACTATATTTATGAGAGTATAGGTACCAAAGGAAATTACGTTACAAATGTTTGCACGTCTTGTTTGTAGCGGCTCTGCAAGCATTCAATTAACCCTTGAATCATAAGAGTTTCTTGCATCTAATCTCTCGATATCACATCACTGCTGACTCAAACATTAAGGTTATGAGAATATAAGAAATGACCACTCATTCAAGACGCTCTTGATTGATAAACAAGCTCTCCTTTTAAATATCATAAGAAATGTACAAAGAAGATTATGAAGAATGTACAAACTGATGTCAGGGTTCAAAAAGGTTAATCAATATATAAATTTATTTATGTTAAAGTGTGTGGGGAGATTATTCCTCTATCCGGGCCCAAGACTCATTTGTAAAAAACTTAATAATAAGTGGGTAAAACTTAACTTAACAATCAAATGAACTATTCCAGGAGCCCATTTAACCAAGTAATGGGCTCCTGACTATTTGTAATAATATCAATTAAAGGTAAATGTATTTAAAGATAAATAAGCATACATAACTCCTTCGACCATGATACAAAAAATACTTGTGCACTCCATTACTTTGTCTTTAAATTTCGGATGTCTTCGTAGTCCCTCATGTTAAGGTCCGGTCAATATTTATCCCCTGGGATGGGGTTAGGGGAGGATTTTGGTTGAGTCATAATAAAAATTACCTGATCCCCCTCTAAGGCTCTTAAATATTCTTGCAGCTACCCGTAATTGGCAGTTAACATTTTCACATTCCCCCTTTATACTCTGTCGGCGACGACTGACCCTCCCCCCCCTCACCTTCCTTTAGGCCCTTTCCGATTGTACTCGGCAACTTTTTAGCAACTTTTGGCATTTGGAGCAACTTTTTGCGTTCCGTAACAACTTTGGGAAAAGTTGCCTTTCTGAGCAGTTTTTAAGCAAAATACGGTATAGGTTAAACTTGATCTCATATCAGTACGAAAAAGTTAACGATTTCATAAAAAGCTAACACATAACCTGTCACTTGACATCGTTTCACATTGCGATGTTTATCTATTATTATAACGGGTAATTGACTAAAAGGACGTTGGGCAGGACTTTATTAAAATTAACCATGTGTCCTGTTGCCTCAGACTTAAGTATCTTAGTATGTCACTCATTCATGAACGATGTTAACAACGCCTGTGAAAAACGAAAAATAGGGCCTTTTTAAATTGAAATAACTAAAAAAATATAAAGAAATTTTGGTAGCAAATCTGCTGTGATTTTTGGAAATATTTGAGCAGGTTTTTGGCTTTCCACTGAGCAACAGGCTCGCCTCCTATTCCCTGAATTTTTATGTTGAAGGGGGAATCACGGGCAACCGCTGGCATCCTCTCCCTTCGATGTAAACCGCTCTATCTTTTACTCTAGCGGAAATATATTAACTGTCATATCTTAAGGTAGAAATAGCTGGGAGTATGATAGTAAATTTTTTTCATCATCAAGCCAAACGCAAAATCATTTGGATGCACATGTCTGGGAGATGTATAGATGGTGACGTACAAAGTTAATTTTTAAGGTTACTTTCCACCTTCGCGGGTATCCTTCGGGAAAAAAATTCGTATGTGCGCTAGTTTCACTAAAATCCCTAGCAAACTGTACATCAGGAGAAAGCTTAATGACTGCAGATTACGACATAAATATGATTTAAGCGACTTCTCTTTTAAGGAAGTTGGTAAGGCTTGAAACGACCGAAGGTTCTTCTACTGAATTTATCGGGTATTGGATACGGCAACACGAGCAAAATGGCTGTATTAATCAACGAAATTGTGCCGGGCGAGGCGTGTTGCGTAAATGGTAAACACGCGATCAATATTAAACATATCAAAATATCCCGACACTATTTAGTTTGTCATTATTCCTGGAAAATTTTGGCGAAATTTGACGAATATCGGTCAAATCTATATTCTCTATAAATTCGCTCAAAATGTTTGTATTCCTTCCAAAATCATATGCATGATTTTAACTCATAAAAGTTCGGAAACAACTTGCGCCACGCCAGGAGATTATCTCGTCTCCTGGAACCGCAAACCAATGGGACAACGGGACCTCCTGGCTTCAATGACAATGGTTCAAGATAATCTATGCCAGTTACAGTTTCCACAAAGCTACATCTATCACATGGAACATGGCTCTCTGCCCATAACAATGACATCTTGTGAAATGTCAGTGTCACATAAGGTAGTATTCATCTTAAAAAAAAAAAGAAAAAACATTAACTTATTATGTTCCGTTATGTTATGAAACTGGAAAAAAAAAGACTAAATTGCCGTATTTTTGTTTTTTTTTCCAAGACATCTTAGAAGAAAAACATTTCATTGGATCATCAGCAAATCATTATCAAGTAACTTTTTCATCAACGAAAAGTTTAAGGAAATGGTTTCAAACATCGTCAATCCTTTTTCACGTTTGATTATGATCTGACAAGAGGATACAATGACTAAAAGACAATCGCTTGATAATTTACAACCTGTAGTATTATTATTTCTTTTAGCTTATATAGGTTTACGGGCTTAAAATCTTTCCCATTTGCTCTTAATCCAAAAATGAACAGATGCTAGATGGAGAAATCAGTTCAATTTAGAGTGGTCGCGAACAAAGGGCTGCAATTTGTTTCAACGCAAAACAAAATGTGAATCGAGTCTTGGGCCAATAGACATGAATGAATTTTCTCGGATTTCTTCTAATGACGCACTTTACATCTTAACGCCAAGTAATAGCTGTATATCAAAGCGAAAACGATTCTGATAAATCATTATTCAAGTCTTAAAAATGTGTGGGAAAATAACCGCGCGCGTCTGATGTTTGGATGCCAAAACCAAAGTGAAAAGTGTTTCTCCGTCTTGTTTGACTATTGCAGACTTATTTTAAAAAGGGATAACCACATGTAAGTCTTATAAATCTGATAACGTTGCATTGGTGAATTAGTATTCGGTTTTCTGTCTTTTATGATTTAAATATAGCCACATATTATAGAAAAATCGAATGTTTTTAACCGTTACAGATGGATCACCGCGTTTTTGACACCGCATAAACGTAAGACAGATTGGTTTTCATCCTAACAAAATTCTATCTGACTACCTAAAGAGGCTCTCTAGGGTTTGTTCAATGTTTGCGAGCGCGCCAGCGTAATGTTTTTTTTTTTTAAATTTTTATGTTTTCGCTTTTGAAGGTCACTAAAAGCCACCAAAAGGCAATGAGCAAGGTTCAGGCTATTATCAAAACAATATTCGTTCGAAAGCTAAGGCTCTACGAAGTGAGGCTCTCGCCAATAATAATTTGGCTTTGCCTTTGGTTTTCTTCAATGAAATTTCTCAAAATCTTCACAATTTGTGAAATTTTTCTTGCCGGTCATTTAAAAGCCGAAAAATAAAGGGGTTACAAAGGCAATATTCTTGCTATTTGCAATTTTGTGTTTTCTTCCTTTATTTCCGGCCAATTTGGTCCTATGAATTTTTTTTATCAACATTCACAAGGAAGGGCACAAGTATGTTTAACGGTCTAGCAAATCTTAGTCGGAAATTCCACCGAAGGAAACGCGATAAATCTTGCTCGAGAGATCCCTATTTTCTTCGTTGCAGAACATTTCATGATGGAAGAGAACCTCGCCAAGATCTATATCTGAGCATGTGTAGACTTTTGATATCTGTCGCCATTTGGCAATCTTTCCCACGGTGTTTTCTTTTCTCCGTGTTTGTTTTGTTATGTTCGCACCCAGATCTTGCGCGGTCAAAAAACCACTTTAGAGCCTCCTTAATCCAGATGTAAATAACAGGTTCGACTTAAAGAAATGTTTTATTTATATAATCATACAAATATTAACCTATCTGAGTAATATTATGATATTGAACCGAACGAAACCGTATTTCGAACTTGACAATGATGCGATATGAGTGAAGAACCTTAAAACACTCAGCACCTTGGAAATATGTGAGTAATAACATCAAAACGTTCTGAGGTAATTTATCGAGACAAATCAAGCCGGGCAAGTCTTGGGAACTGAGAGAGAAAATAGATATTTTATTTGTCACATCTTAATATTTCAGTCTTGCAGAATTTCCTTTCACGCCTATTTCGGAAATATCTTTTATAAACTGACTCGAAGAACTAGCAGCTTTCGTTCAGAGCAAAAAAAAAAAAAAGATTTTATGTCGATCTCCTTTCCTTTCTGTGAATTCACAGAAGTAAGAAATTACACCTATGTCGATATTTTGGTCAATTTCGATCCTAGAAACACATTCGAGCTGAATTTTCAAAGGGCGCTATGATAAACAGAAATCAGCCCAGTTTGTGTCGGGAATAATTTTGGCCAGTCTTCGAGAGTTGCCATTCACGCCCAATCGACTCTAAGCTCTATGAAGTGACAGCCCGCGTTGTAAGTAAAAGAAAGATTAATTGTTCCAAAACTTTGTCTGCAATTGACTGCTGAATTCGAACTAGAGCAATATCTAACTCTGGTATGAACCAGATTCAGAAGCGTTCCAAAATAGGTCAGTCTGAAGCTTTTCGAGAATCTTAGATTTTTGTTGAAATCGATCAGTCAATTTCTTTTTAATGCACTAAACCGGTCTTGACTAAAAGTTTTGAGGTAAATTTTTTAAAACAAAGTTAAGAGGTGGCCGTCGTATCTGGTTTGAACTTTTATCGTCCAGAATTAGATAACTTGACGATAATACCACAAACACTTACGACAGTGAGGCAAATGCATCTGATCAAAAATTACAGTTTGCTTTCAACATCCTATGTACATATCGTAAATTTAGATTATCATGATTATATTTTCAAAGCTTCGTGATCGTTTGTTTCCTTCTGACAGACAAATAAATTAAAGCGCGTTTTTAAATGTATACGCGAATGTTATATCCTCAAAAAGAGTTCATTACTTATCGGAAGCCAATATACATTACTTCTTGCGCTGAGGATATACGATAGAGTGTTTCATGATGATGAAATAAATAAATAAAAGCAGGAGCTCACTAATGGGCTCCTGCTAAAACGTGTTTTTTTTTTTCGTCTTTCGTCTTGTTACGAGCTTGGGGCCAAAAAAAATACTGAGTCCGCATGAGGAATCGAACCTCAGACCTTCGGATTGCTATTTCGAAGTTTTGACCAACATAGAGTGGAAAGCACCGCAAATACGCAGGACTATTTCCAGGTGATGGGGTCCCAGAAATGAATTATCACCTCGCTGTAGGCAATGCCATATTTCTAAAAAGGCATTGAAATCTTCACCGCACAAATTACCTTTCAGTGTTTTCATGCATGAGTTATTTATGTTGTTCAACCAATATTTGTGTAAAATATGGACACAGTTTTCCCAAATTACCAACGCGAGACGATTTAATGAAAAATCAGCCTTACATAACATCAACCAAACGTGTTTGTCACTTTTTCATTGTGAGTCTTTCCAACTTGTGAATTAAAAGAGACGGATAGTGGACTCTATAAGTAACACTTAACACTCCATCAATGATAATTTGGCTTCCTTTAAAATCTTTACACCTAGAAATTTTAATAAGAAAAAAAAATTGGTAGCGAGGATGGTCAGGAACTGAAGTATTAAAAATTGGTAATCATAGTTACATGTAAATTTATGAGTAAACCTGCTTGCACGTTCTATTGCTTTGAGGACTTCTAAAAGAAACGAGCTGATAAATAATTCGTTATTCACTTTGATAACGGGACGTGACCTTTCGAACCCATGAAATATCGCGACTACGTATACTTCCTCAGAGATCCGACACATGATTGACAGCCCCCTGTAAACGCTTTTTACACAAGGTGCATTACGCGTAGAATGTTTTTGAAGGGTGCATCTGATAAAGAATTCATATCATGGAATGATTTGCTGTATGTGCCAGCTCCTACCTGGATAAAGTCCGTAATGTTGATACAACCCTTGTTTCAGAATTTCTTTTTTTTTTTTTTTTTTTTTTTTAAAGAGGCCCATTTCGCGTGCATTTTTTTCTACTATTACGAATAATTTTTCTTTAAATTTTATGTCAAATATCCATATCTTAATTGAAATCTACAAAGTTTACATTTTGCACCCGTAAATTTTAATATTGCGTTTAAATACAGCAGTGTCGGGAAAAGATAACGATTGAAATGTTTGAATTGGACGAGGCAGGTAGACAAAACCCAGATAGCTTCGAAAATAACCACAACTACGTTCGGAAATAATCTTTACATGTTTCAGAAGCACAAAAAAAAAAAAAAAAATTTCATGGACACTAATAACGAGGGATGACTTAATAATTTTTTCTCTTCTCCAATTCAATTAAAACTCTTTTATTAAGACATTCAGCAAAATCGTTCGGACGACAAATCGTCCTGGCAACCACTGCATAAACTAAGTTATGTTATTATAAAGTTTCGCTAAAGAGAAAACGATGTATTATGCGACTTTCTCCTAATTGAAAAACAGCTTATGGAATGTTTAATTGAACTTGACTCTGAAGTCTACATCTCATGAGTTATTAATGAAGATGGGTTCCGAAATAGTTATTTCATTGGTTTACAGTACGCCTGAATGACCTGAATATACAACTTTTTTAAAGCCCGACTGAAAGGGAGATAATTACAAAAGATACACCTGTCGAAGCAATTTGTTCCAGGTTTTATTTGCATTGTGTGTTTTCTTTATGCGAACTGTTTACCCTCTGAAAGCCCCGCTGTATAAACTTGGAAGAATGGGTTGGGGTCTTTTTTCTGAAATTGTAGGTTATAGAGTCTGGCGTAAGTTTTCCAAAAGCGTCTAGAACACTCCGCGTTTTTGCAACAAATCACGACGTCGCTGTCCGATACAGAACGTTTAAAAAGATTTATTCCTGGATGACACAAAATTAGGTGAAAGTATCTAATTGGATTTTATGTTTTTAAATTCCGATTAGCTTGTTGAGTCTCAACGGACAGTTTCACCTTCATTAAACAGAGCCAACATGAGTCAGACGTCAACTGAACAGAACGACTCTCGGTTCAACAATGTTTCCACTGGTTTGGCGCTGAAAAACTTCTCAAATTCAGGTAAGGAAAACAATGAATTCTACGAGGGTAATATGTTGCTTTGTTCTCTTGTGCCTAAATTATGCTAAGAGAGATTTGAGCAAGACAGACCTTTGACAGGCATCGCTAAATTGTATGTTTAAGATGAGGAAGTCCCAAAAAAAAAAAAAAAAAATTCAATTTGCCTCGGTCCCTTGAATGAGCTATTTTATCGCAGTCTGATCATCTTAATTAATTTTTTTGAGTTAGTCTTTTTCATATTTTTTCAATATATTTTTAGGCGTTCTCGTATTGTTTTGGTTAATTTTCGCCTCTTCGATGTTTCGCTCCCTTAGAAATCGATTATTTAACTACCCCATAATTTAACGGCAATTTCGATGTCGCTCTTAAGCAACTCAAGGTAAACAACGCCGAGTCAGTCATAGGAATAAGATTAACTTTGTAATTTACTTATTAAGAAATATATGGAGGAAAATTTCTTGAAGGATTGAATCCAATGAAATATTTACTACGTAATAAGCTATCACAGAGTGATCCAAACCGACCACAGAGCTCAGTTAATAATAAAGCAAGTTTGTTTTGATATCCATCAAATGAATAATTAACTAATGTAACTCGAATTTTAATGCGAATTGAAAAAAAAAAATTCGCTGTACAACGATACCATTAAACTCTTCGCCTCATCAGTTATAACCCACCTAAATGAATAATTTTCTTTGCTACAAAGTTACCATTAACCAATTACAAGGTAATTATGAAAATTGCGAGGCAAAAATCTGTTTTGAAGTTTAGCTAACGTCTCATTGCATAACAATAACAAGAAAATGGTTAAGAAGTACACTTAGCCCCTGTTTTTTGCATTGACCGGCCCTGCGTTATAAGTTTGAACGAAAATGCACTATGGATAGCCTTGTTTTTCAGTCTTAAATCGTACCATTACTCATTTCTGTGACATATTTTCGTCATTTAAGCTTCATGATTATCCTCATTATTTTTTCACCTTTTTCGAGTACAGGATATTTCTACTTGACTTCAACCATCACTGATAAATTTCAGACTCAAAAGTAGAATTAAGAACACTTGGAGAAACGATGTATTTATTATGGAACGGGTTGAATTTTCTAAGCGACTCGATTACTTATCCCTATTTTTATTAAACTCTTCGTCAGGATTTTTTAGTCGCCGCCATACCCATAGAGTTTCTCCGTTGATGCGAAGATAGAATAGCGGGTTTAAACTACCTTTCAACGGCCGAGACATGTTTAAAAAAGCAGGGTTGACGGGGGATTCTATGAGCTCTGGAAAGAGCTCCCGATCAACACACTGCATTTCTTATCGGTACACATGGCAGAGTTTTAAATTTTTGAGATCTTTTTGTTTCTGTTGCTTCTGCAAACGAAGAGTGTTATGATTCACCTGTTGTAATAAAGGCTGCCCATGGTTACGTTTCCGAATTCGCACAATCGCAAAGCTTGGGAAGTCGGTATTGTTAGTACAGTATCTCAATTTCAATTCTTAATTGCTTTTGGGCTGAACATATTAAGCAGACAGTTAAGGTAAATTAGCATAAATTTTCTCTTCCAAATAGGCCTTAAAATTCACGGTTTTCTCTGTTAAATATTAAAATTACTCTGTTGTCTCAGCTAAGCAAACTTATTCATGGACACCTCAGGTTGCTTATCATTCAGTCAAGTATGCCTATAGACACAAATACAATTAGTTTCTGATGCTTTTTAATACTCGTCTCGTATGTGAGAACCATTTAATTACTAAGATTTTACATTTTTTCAGACTCTCTATAACTGCCGATTTGCCAACATTATAATTAATGAATTGGTCAGACGTAGACTAATATTCAGTGTATGATAAATTGTACATATAGGCGAGAAAGCTCAGTTCAAATCTCAAAAGGAAACAAATTTAGTTCAAATGGCATCAAATCTTCCCACAGATTTGTTTGAGGAGTATACATGCGTTTGGACTCGATTACCTAACCTGCTATGGGTTAATTTTGTTGTTTTTTTTTCCCCTTCATCCTGCATGTATTGCTCCAGGTTCTCGAGTTTTCCTCTCCATAAAAATCCACTCCCCAAAGTCCAACTTTACTTGATATCAGCAGACAAGAAGAGCCACTGCTTGGTTGTTTACAGTTCCGATTTATAATCATTGTTTTATTTTATTTTTTTATTCATGTAGATGACGAGTTCGATGACATGAGTGAAGGTCGTTTCCAACCTGTTGTAGACGTTCCAGCGATTGCGTTGGCGGTATTTATAGTCATCATTAACAGTTTAGCTTTGATAATGGTGGCGAAGAAAACATACTTGAGATCCATCACCAATCTACTGCTGTGTAGCCTGGCTTTATCCGACCTCCTTACTGGCTTGGTCTCTGTGCCACTGTTTATCACGTGCAACATCGTCCGTAGATTAGCAGTTTGTCTCACTGAAGAGCAATTGTCTCGGTTCATCTCAGCCTCTATTGTGTCTCATCTGATGTCCGTTGTGATTGACAGGTAATGGAAATATAGTAAAGATTTTGTATTCAAAATCTCTATTTGTAGAAAAGCTTGGTTTGGAAAAATGAAGAATTACAACCATATTGAAAACCATACCATGCTTTTATTCTGAGTCTCTCATAGCTGTAGTTTCTTTTCTCAGGAAGCTAAATGTACGTTCTCTCCAAATAATATGTGAAAGAGGTTGAGATCAGAAACAGAAATCGAAAAAACCAAACAAGTAAAAGCAACCCTCAGCTGGACTAGTGCTGGAGTTGCGCGCCGGTCGCAAATATTCCAATTTTGCAGAAGAAAAACCACTATTTCTTCAAACGTGTGCCGCTTGAGCACTCATATAATTGAGCGGAAAAAAAATTGAGACCGAGACAAATTTTTCATTAATTTTTCTAATTGTTAAGTAACCATGTCAGAAACGTATAAAGAAAGGATAATAATGATAATAATAATGATAATAGATGAACGCGATAAACTGATCGGAGTGATAAAACCTTAATTAAGGAAAACGACTTTCTTTCTTAGATATCTGGCAATTGTACACCCTTTGCGGTACACGTCACTGGTAACACTCCGCAGGTGTGCCATAGTTATCATCTTTATCTGGACATCATCGGCCGTCACCGCATTGGTGCAATTAACTTGGCTCGATCCATTCAACCACGATCCACATGACGAAGACCTGACGGACTCCTTCCAAAGAACAGAACTCGTCTATGACATACTGTTTCTCATTCTATTTTTTTTAATTCCTTTGATGATCATGTGCTTTACCTATGCGAGAATAATCTTTGAGATAATTCGTCAAAGTCGTAACATTAGGCGAGAAAATACGCCCAGCTTACCAAACACTAGGAAGAGATCTAGGAATCACCATGAGTGGAGAGCCATTGCAATCTTCGCCGCCATGATGTTCGTTTACATAATCTGTTGGCTGCCTTATTTTATGCTTCGCCGATTCGATTTGTCGGCGTTGCCAGACACTTTTATATTGGCTGTTGTTTGGTTGAGGTACCTTGCGTCGCTTTTAAACCCATGTATGTACATATTTGGCAAAAAAGATTTTCGAAAAGCTCTGCTTGAACATGTGCTACCGATGAAGCTGCAACGAAATTCCTCGTCTACGAAATCAACGGCTTTAAGAAGTACTGTAAACGCCGACGACTTCTTTAGTAGGAGAGGTGGAGGTTACACGGAAATTGGCAGAAGAAAGGAAACTTCAGTTATCTGATGAATGCCTTTTTAAGCCTGAATCTGAAACGTGATTCTCACCACTAGTTGCCATATATGAATGTGTAAATATGTTTAAAAAAATTGATATGAGTCACACAACGGTTTCACCCTCTAACTGATGTTTTTGTCTTTCCTCGTCAATTCAATGAACTAGATTGTGTATCTTTGTAATATAAGTAGACGATAGATCAAAACTGCTGCATGAAAAGGGAGGAAAATAAACGGTCCATGCATGAATCAAAGAATGATTTACTGATAGGTCCTGTTTCAGAATTATTGCATCTCACTCAAACACATGGGTGGCGAATGGCCCGCTGAAAAATCGTGGTTCTCGCAAACTTTTTCTCCTATCACGAAATCTTGTCCGCGATAACCTTCGAAGTCCCGTTCATAAAGCAGATTTTTATGTGGGAGTCTAGCATTCCTCAGTTCAAATATTTCGAGTCTGTGATTTGTTTTATTAATAGCCAGAGATCTCATTAAAAGATAGCTAGAATAGCTTAGAGTTTTTTCTTTGTAAGCCACGGAAGCCTGTGTGATCGCTTTCAAGTTTAAAAATATTGCAACGTGGAAGAAGATACCTCTACAGCACGACTTGTACAGCATAACATAGAATAACATAGAATACTCTTCACGGCCAGTGGCTGTATTGTTAATGATTCAATAACTGATATATATCAAGAAGTTTCGGGCTTTTACTTGGCCTTTCTCTAGACTCCATACTTCAGGTTGGAGAACTTATGATCAAAAGAATGTAAAAACCATTTCGATTTTTTTGTCAAGTAACTGTAGAGTTGAATCAAATTCTAACAAATAAAGAACATAAGTAATGCAATGCAGATAATTGCCTCAACGTTTCTCCCGCTGAAACATTTTACATTTTCTATTATAGAAACTGTGGATTTTTACTTGGATTTCAAGCGCTGAGAAAATCGGTAAAAGCACTCGTGTAAAATTGCAATACCTGTGTTTGATACCGCCAATCTGCCGCTGACACGTCACTCGCTTTTCGCATCACTTTGTCAGGATGATAAAAGAATGACAAAGCGTATACCGTTAATAAAGTCGATTTTTCTTATCAGCAAAGGCCTATGCTATTTATATAATAAACTACATGGTTGCTTGCAGATATGAAATTTCTTTTCTCGTGTTCAACGCAAGGTATCGAATTAAATAAACGCTCGGAGAGAAATTCTACATATACGTGCGCCCATGAATTATTCTTTATGTATTCGGCTAAGGTATGGGTTTCATTTTCCAGTGGGGGTCTTACGTTCGCATACAATTCAAGTAAACTAGCATACAACTTGATTGTTAATTGTACTCAAAAAGTTTAATTCTTGTAGATATTAGTCTTGTTGATAAAAACGGCCTCGCAACTGGTGAGATATTAATTCCGTCCGCTATAGCTCACAGATTTGAAGTTTTAGAACAAGGTAAAATTTCTGATTCCATCTTAAACTTAAAGTATAACTGAAGCGGAATTAACACATAGCAGCCGACGCCTTAGTTGTATCTACGTCTGTTGCCTCCTCTGGGACAGATTTACAGATTCCACGCTTTGAATGTCCTTGCATTGAGTTTTATACTGGAGCCCCCACACGTTTGAGCGGAATCATGTCTTTATAATGGTAACGTTTATCTTTCCTCCCTGACCACTTCAGAGCCGATCGGAAATCCTTCTTTCCAAAGATGTATAAACATGGGTTTAGAAAGGACGACAGGAATCGCAGCCACAGGATGACGTACATGATAATAACTCTTATATGATCCAGACGATACAGTCGAAGGACGAAGTACGGCAACCAGCAAACGGCATAGACCAATAACATTACTGCAAAAGTTGTCACAACTTTCCTCTCGACGTATTTCAGCTTTCGAGAATCCTGGCTATCAGGCGCAGTTTGCTTTCGGAGGAATTCGATCTGTCGCGAGACTTCATTGAAGATTCTTGCATAGACGAAGACCATACAGACTAACGGAACAACAGTGAAAGCAAGGACGCATGTGACGTCATAAATATTCTCCTTCTTAATTACGTCAGGGGTGAGTTCCTGATGTGGGTCGTGATCTACTGGGTTCATCCAACTTAGCTGGACCAAAGCCATGGTAGCTGATAACAACCAGATACTCAGAATGACAGAAATGCATCTTGAGTGAGTAAAAATCGCCTTGTACCTCAAAGGATGAATAATGGCGAGATACCTAACAGTTATAGAATCAGACTTAATAGTTAAGATGGCTCTTCACAGTTAAAGTCACTGCTATTTTAAGAATTAACCTCATTGCTATTTTATAAAACAAAACAAAACGAAACGAAAACAACGAAAGAAATAGTAGCCGCAAGTTCATGTTTACCTGTCTACGCTAACAGCCACGAGGTGGCAAACGGTTGAAATCGACGTAAATCGCAGCATTTGATCCTCAGCAATACATATTCCAGGCTTATGTAATAAGTTGCACATCAGAAACAATGGTATACTGATCAACCCGGTTAGGAGGTCTGATAAAGCCAGGCTGCACAACAACAAGTTTGTTAAACTTCTTAATCTTTGTTTCCTTGCTACTAAAACTATGACGAAGCCGTTGGCCAAGAGGATTAATATTCCCAGAGTTATTGGAGGTATGTCAACTGGGAGCCCCAAGCTGTAATCAGAGGTTGATGAGTTATCAGCTGAGGTACTGTGCGATGATTTGGTGGTAAGGTTCATGCTTGGCATTGTTGTTCAGTCCTAAGGGAATGTTTCCTGAAAAATACAAAGGAAAAATCTAAATCAATCGTGCCATTAGACAAGCCGCTTAGAAGCCGCAGTGTCATTTCATCGACTACCTATTGTCAAGCACGTCTTTTTACTGTGCCCGTGAGTTATTCGTGGAGGGTTACAAATACTAGTTCAAATGTATACTATGGAATATCCCTCGAGTTACAGGTATTTTCACAGTCAGTACAAATTAGTCGTTTGGCGAGCGTTTGTAGCGAGGGTCAATCTATGGTATACCGCTGAAAAGTGTTGAATAACTTGTTAACGCCATGCCATATGAAGTAAAAAGGCAAGCACAACCAATGCGAGGATAAAACGCCTACTTAACCCAAATCAATTTCCGCCATTAGAAATCATTAACCGCCATAAGGCATCATTCGCCTTCATCAGGAGTCGTTCGACGTCATTAGACCTCATTCCCCGCACCTAGGCTCCGTCATGAGATGAGACGAAGCCGATTTCTTTAAGAGACATCATTCACAGTTCTTATGAATTTTTTAGGATACTTTACCACAACTTGGTAGGAACCATCGCCACAAAACATCGTTTGTTGTCACTACGCATCATATCCAGTCATTAATTGTCATAAACGATCATAAGAAAGTCATTCACCGACATCGGAGCTCTTTGAAAACACTTTTTCACTATAAATTATGACAGAGTACAAGGAATGTATGTTAAATTAAATGATTTTAGGCAGTCTGGTGAAAGAAATTAGAGAGTGATGGCGCCGTTCGTAAAATTTCGGCGAGGATAGGATTACTTACAGCGCAGAATGCGGACGATTAGAAGCAACACCGCTGAATTAACAATGGCTATTTTATATGGCATGAAACAAATCACATAACAGTGTTTGAGAATATTTATTTATCAATCGATGATTGATCAGTATATGATCACTATTGTTTGAGAAAGCAATCGATAGCAATATGAAATAAAACATAAGGATGATGATTTTCAAGTAAATCTATTAAAGAAGCTTCCCGGGAACTGAGAAACTTGGATGTAAGAAATGGCTGCAAACGACAACAGAGACACGTTGAATATTCAGAGGGGGAGCATGTGAGTCTACTGTTCTCTTATCTATGAATGGTAGGAAATACACAACTATTGACTATCCAGCTCTGCATACGTTTTAGTAAGTCTGAATCAGTCGATGTACAGATACAATACTGTTTTAATCGTTTATTGATTTCCCAAACGGCAATCAGCATCAATAAACTATTGAGAAGAAATTGTCTGATATCAGATACCTGATTGGTTTCTTGCCATTGATATCTGATCGGTCAACAGGTAGACTGGAGGCACGGGATTAAATATTTATGAAAGTAAGGCAGGAGAAGTATATTTAAAGTTTTACATCGATCAATACCACCATTGACATATGTAGCTAAAAGGAAAAGCAGGTGTTTTGTTAAGTACCAAGTTCAAGATAACACAGAGGAAACACTCACGCTAACGCTTGGAAAGTCAATTTTTCAAATGTCCTGTTCCTACTTTAATTATTCGCTTTCAATCATATATGTTTCGTGTTTTCTTCTGGAGTATGCGCAACACGTACAAAAGACTCAGTAGGGTTTCTCTCCAAGATCGCTCATCAGATCAGAAAATGTCAAAGAGAAGTTTTGAAAAAATGTAATAAAGTAAAGACTGTTATTTTTGGACAAGAGTTCGTTTTGTCCTGATGCCTTTTTATTGCCTCAAATGTGAGAAGCCAGTCAGTAGCACTGGGTTCTTTGTGAGTTTAATATTTCATTTGGATTTGGATTGAAGAAATTAAATGAGTACCCCTACCTCACCCTCCTTCACTCCTCTTTACAATCACGTACGAGTTTGCAGCTAACTTTCGTTCGATCGAGCGGTTTATTTAATTTTTTGATTGTCACTAAAGACCAATGAATGGTCACTCAACCGTGCTCGGAATTAAATTCTACCGATAAAGCATTTAGATTAACTTCCAAACGTCAATTGGTGATCATCCTTATGCTGACATAAAAACTACACTTATGGAGCCTTATTATGCTATCGTGATTAAGGCCTTTTTTGTGCGTCCCACACTAATTAATTCTTCATTATGGTCAGACGCGCTATGGATCCCACGCTTTGGAAGTTGGAAAATGGATACTGAAACTAGGGAATTTAGATTTTAACCTGCTATGCAAGTAGCCCTCTTTTCAAGTAAACATACTAAGACCTTTTTATAGTTAACTGCATAAATGAAAATATCAGCGATGTTTTGTTTATATTCCAGTTTTTAATCTCCCAATCCATTTTTTTTTGTCACGCTAGCTATTCAGTGAAAGAAGTCAGAGGAATTATTTCTTCTCTCTGTTGGCATTTGCCTCGCGGCCTAGCAAAGCAAAACTAGGTCGTTTTAAATACACTGGATCTCATAATGAATATCATCTTTCGACCAAAATTATATTGAAAATAATTTAAATATTATTCTATGTTTCGTAAGAGTTTGATCGAATTTTTGCCTGAGATCAACTAATCTCATAACTGTTGAGCTATAAATCTCGAGGGTGCCTTTAAATAAATTAAAATGTTAGTTAAGTTTAAAATTTGGAAAAATATGTTAAGATGAAAAAAATGAGGATAACTTTTTTTCTTTCCTATCTCTGTTGGCATTTGCCTCGTGGCCTAGCGATGAAAAACTAGGTTCGACACCAGCTGTACATTGAATGCACTGGATCTCATAATTAATTTTATCTTTTAACCAAAATTAAATCGAAAAAAATTTAAATATTATTTTATGTTTCGTAAGAGTCTGATCGAGTTTTTGCCTGAGATTAACTTAATGTGGGAGCATGGAGTGTTCATCACCGATACTGAGCGTGTAGAGGTTATAACTGTGATTGATATGTACCAGCAACGGAGAACTAATAACAGAATCTTCATAACTAAAATAAGGTGAAGTAAAATATTCAGCAATGGCGAAGTTGGCGTAAAGAGCTGTTATTTGTTTAATTAAGCTACTGAGTTCAATTTTTACCTTTAGGCTACGATGAAGAATGAGTGTGAAGAGGAAACTGTCGCGTTAAAATAAAAATCATGGACTAGGAAATACGACCAAGTGCGGAACTGACTTGTATTCCACAGAAAAAAACGAGGAATATCCAGGTGAGTTAATGTGTTTACCTTCACAATTACCCGTCAGGTTTGCATGCAGAGTGCTTCAATTCTGACTTAGCTTCGCTTTATTTGTTGATTATTATTATACGTGTTCATGAATTGCAAATTAGCTCAAACATTGTACTCGTAAAAAGCTTTCCGCTTTCTTTCAGAAGCTTACCGTCTGCGATTACCAAAATGTTCAGAGCATGCCGGACGAAAGACTGCCTTTGTAGACATTCAACTGTCTGGAAGGTTTATCGGCTTTATCGCAGGGACAATTTCAAAATTCAACATCAGTAATTGTAGTGGAAAGGCGAGAGGTCCTGCGAACGTTTGATTTTCTCTCTTCTCAGAATTGAGTAGAAAAAATGATATATTGACTTGTTTCAAGAGATTACAAGATTCCTTTTTTTATGGAGCGATTCATTAAAAAAGAAATGAAAAGCTAAAATAAAAAGTATGAAGAAACTAAAAATGCTAAGAAACTGAGATTATTTTTATCTTAAGCAGAGGTATAAGTTGAGGATAAGTTTCTGCAGCGAAATCGAAGATCGGTTCGTTTATTTACATAAAAGTGGACGGCTGGTAGCATCTCAGTCTGTGATATATGCAAGAATTCACATCCACCGCATAGGAACATGTCTCTCTTGATATATTGTATGCAAAAGTGTCAACTACAAACCGATGATTAGCAAATTAAAGAAAAATTTTCAGTAAAACCAAGCATATTTTCTGCACTTGCAATATTTCATTTTTCAATCACATTGTAACAGATAAAATTCGTTACTCACGAGATGTGGGCGATTTGTTGAAGATACGATATCACACACCTTATTACGTTATCGAAGGCCTTGGCATGTTTCACTGAAAATGAAGAAAATTGAGAGGAACAACGAGTTGTTGACACAACTTATTTTGTTTACCCCTCTATCATCCAGCCGGATGGGAAACGAAAAAGCGACGAAGAGTAATTTAATTGCTTCGGCTACGGAGCAGCCAATAACTTTTCGTGTTTTATGTTCGAAACACCTCAAAGCTGCCTGGAAACGTGTCAAGATTAATTTCCCCTGCGCTAAAACAGAAATTAACTAGTTTTCATACCAAGTAAATTAAATTGTCTTTGTTTCAAGCTAATAATTTGAAGTCACTTTAGAAGACGTTCGTCTATTTCATTTGCCATTCAAAACGTACAATTTTTACGGCTTCCGAATCGAAACACTGCCGGTCGATTCGGAGGCGGATTTTCCAGCTGCCACTTCAAAAACCACTTTTACATTTACGGGTATCGTTGACATCTTCGGTCTGTAGAATATTTAAGCATTACGGTTTTTCTTATCGAAACTTGTTAAAAGGTTCTCACTTTTGTTTTTCAGTTTTTACACCGTTAATTTCGAAATTTCTGTTAATTCACGTCCATATTTAAATGAGACTAAAAAGTGTAGACAGCTGATCGCAAAAATTGTGAAACCGAAAAAGCCGACCCGTATCAAAGACATCAGCGTCGTTTATGCTTCTGAATTATTTTTTTCCATGCAGAAACTTTAGCGAATTTAGCAAAAAGTTGTTTCTTTAATTTTCCAAGCTCAATTCCCTCTCCGCCAAAATACGACTTATGGTTAAGGTTTGTCTTTAACTCATTATTGTGAAGGGGAAAATAAATAGAAAAAATCCTGTTATTTGGGATGCATATGCAGATATTGTTTTTTCATGTAAACGGCGATCTAATATGATCGTGTGGTGTGCTTTGAGCTGCCTCAGGTTTCAAATGGAAAAAGTGGGCGTTGGGCAGTGAAAGCTTTTCACTTTTTTTCCTTTTTTTCGACTGACCTGTCATGGCTTTAAGAATTATTTCCGAATTAGAAGCTCCAAATGGTCCATCGCAGAAGATTAGGCTAACATGGTTTTTGTTATCGATGCTTTGGGTACTGTGAACTTTAACGAGAGATTATATTCCCAGTCATTCCTATTAAAGAGGAATTCTAAAAGTCTCTAACTTATGCGGTGTTCGCAAATCGGACTTGGTGATGTTGAAATGTTACGGCCGTTTTCTTCCAACGAGTAATTTAAATCCATTGTACATGCAGCGATTAGCGAACTGAATAATTTTTCATCATTAACTCCAAAAAGTAAAATATTAAATAGATCGAGAGCGAGATCAACGGAAACATTGGATTTATATTTTTTTCTCGTTCCTCATTTTGTTCCTAACGATTTGTGAAACGCATTTCTTAAAAACGAAAAATAAAAGGAATAAATTCAGTGAAAAGTTGCCAGCTTATTAGACGAATGATAAATTGAAAATGAATATTCCACCTGTAATTTTCTACCATTACCAATATCCTGGTGGTCTTTTGCAAAAATTTCGTAATAACTAAATATCCAACATCTTCCTGTTTTCTGATGCCATTAATGGCACAGAAGTATAACCATTGCATGTCACTCAAAGTGAGCAAAATGTACTGAATTGTGAAAAGTTCCTTGAAAACATCAGAGCTTCCTGCTTAAGGCTGACACGTTCCTGATTATCTTCGTTTCTTTAAAGACATTTCCGTTAAATATAGATCTTTCTTGTACTCAGTCGGTGACAATTTCAAGTCTTCCTGTCTCCTATTGCCATTAATGCTTTCAATAGCAGAAATTATTTGTTCAAGCGGCTCTCTCATAAGATAAGTGCCTGCATTGTATTTCTATACTCGAATTAATTATTTAGTATTATGACAAACTCCATTACAATATTGAGCTTCCTGTGAAAAGTCAGTACTTCCTTCAGTAATAGATCACAGATGGTAAGATGTGGTAAGAACAAAAAAGTGGCACACGAGGCGCAGCCGAGTGCGTCACTGATGTTCTTACCACATTTTGACGTCCTCTGTGATCTATAACTGAACAGACGCACGGCAACTTGGAATCTATTGGTCAAATAGATAGGGAACTCGAGAATAATAAAAAAAAAACTTGGAACAGCTTGGAATCTATTTGTTTTATATGATAGAGAACTAAAGAAAGTTTTAATTATGACATCAACCATACATCTGTCCTCCAATAGATCATAGGTGAGAACCAATCAGAATGCGTGCATAACTGCGCTTATTATAAAAAGTTGAATAATAAGCTGCTAAGGGAAGAAGCTTAGAATCCTTCCATTACTATTCAGGCACAATTTTTGCCTTCCGAACCTGAAATAAATTTCCTTTTCGTCTTGTATTATTTAAGGACATTTTCATTCGCCATCGACCTGCGAGTGAGTTTGTTTGTAAAGACATAGCATCAAAGATTTCGTTTATGATCGCATTCCCAAAATAGACCTTTTGGGTGTAGGAGAAGAGGAGTGCTGTAGAGACAAAATGAGCTGGATGTACCTGAGAGCAAGAGAGGAAATCCAGGGTGGAAAATAACTTTACGGTAGAGAACTTAGAGACTTATTGTTTTCAATTGCTAAAACTCATGAAGTTATGTTCATTTCGTCTTTCAATCCTTGCATGCATATCCTAGTAAATGACGTCACAACAAATCTAAGTGACAGGTCTGAGGTTTAGGTCTGAGGGATCAATATCAGTATCTGAACCGAAGGCACTATGGAACAGAGCCATTTAATTTTACGATAAAACGGCTTATAATTATGTAAAGCAGAACCAGTAAACAACCCTTGAATGAATGAATGTAATAAATGTTTTGAGTACGTATCATCATGATATTCGGCCAAAAAAAAAATTCTTTGAAACGTGCGACTCTTCCTTAACCTAAACGAAAAGGGAAATTTGATAATATTGGATTGATAGACTTTTAAAGTTACATCAACACGTAGTAAGAACTGAAAACTGCCTGAGATATGTAAAAATACACCGAAACGAATAAAAGTAAACACTTAAAAAGCCTACAGTCATTTACTTACAATACTTCGGTAAACAGTTGTTATCTTAGTGGGGCGGTTTTCATTGAGGTTTATTGCTGATCTCCCTTTGGTTTTCAGGTTCCGGTGGCCTAGGACTACAATCGATATTACTCGGAGAATAATACTCCCTGGTAATCACTGAGGAGCTCTAGAGTTATAGAAAGGGATCTCTGCTGTTTCTCGATTTTAATACTGTAACCTAGAGTTGTAACGTCACCGACAAAAAAGTAACCTTTGTCTCGACTACTCACTTTAAGATATATGGTTTCATTCAAGGTCTGATTGCACTGATAACGCGCACTAAGATTTATAAATATTTTGATTGGTACCATAATCAGTTATATATATCTAATATATGTAATTTATTACCTCAGTTATCTCCAAAATCTAAAGTAATGTAGAAATCATTTGTGATAACAACATCTTTAGAGGAAACCTTGCCGCCGCCTTATAACTAATACTGTTTTTGTTAGAAGTAAGTCGGTACATTTACTTATGACGAGAAAGATATACGAGAGACTTTGCAAACAGCCTTAAAGTTTAGTTTCAAACATCCTCAAGTTCATTACACGTGATTTTTTTTTGTTTGTTTTAATTTTTTTCTGTTGTGGTTCGGTTTAGTCAAGGAACGAGTAAGACTGTTATGCATTGTTCCATTAAGTTTGCTACCAAATATTTTTGTAAAGCAAAATGCCGTTCTTTCGATCTGTTTATTAGCGTAATAACACACGTGGGATGGCGGAAGAACACGAGAAAAGTTTGTGAAATCATGATCAGCAGGAAAACTTAAAATGTTCCAATTTTCTATAGGTTTAGCGGTGCGATAAAAGATTGCACCTTTTCCTGGGATTTCTGAGAGGCCAGTTACATTCTCTTCGGTCAATTATTTAACCAAGGTCTGACCCAAACCACGGATTTACGCAAGCAATGACTTTGACTTTATTAAACATATGGATTTCCACTGTTAGCTGTCGCTCCTGCTGACACTGTTCACAAAAGTAAATGTAATATTCAGATACAAGGTTCAGCTTAATTGAAGATAGTTCAGAACGCGGTTTTGTTAAACTACGGCTGAATATTGTATAAAAATTCAGCCCCGGCTTTAAGTTTAGCGGACGAAAATAATCGTGTGCTTTCCAAGAATATAAATGTGTTAAGAATCTTTATTCCCTTTTATTTCAACATAGCAGTGACTTTTGT